TAAAAAGTGAAACAGTGTTGCCGCTTCCAGTGACTGAAAAATGTTGATCTTTGTTAACAATTAACCAAACACTGTACTGTATGTTTAGAGTCTATGATACTGTCTGACTTTAGCCTGCTTGTAAGTATGAAATTTGAACAAATAGTGTAAAGCTGAATAGAGTTTACTGCCGAATGGACACTGCTCCTTTAAAGCTGTTCACTCTGAATGCTTGTTAAAAGCTGTATAAAACTGTTATCAGACAGTATATCTGTGTTTCGGAAGTTGGATGCTGTGTTGTAAAACATCACAAGTGCATATAACTCTGTGAAACACAACTTGGATTTCCTTATGCTGAATTGATGGCTCCCGAGATTCTGTTGTTGCTCTGGCAACGTATTCTTTCCGAGTGTAGAAGGAGTAAATGATTACGAAACAATTGAACAATCCCCTTGCTTTATATATTCTGCTTTTACAATGAATACCCCCCACACACAATAACCAGCTGCCACATTCTCAGCAGTTTGAATTATAAGACAGTCACAGCATGTGAAAAGGGAGCTGTTCTTATCATTTAAAAAAACACTGGGCGTTTTGAGTTCTCTTGGGATACAAGAAGAAGCTTGTGGCCCTTGCTATCCTCTTATAGTACACACCAGTCTCGTTCTCTCATTGCAAAGAAAAAAATGTTATTGTACACAAAATAGCAGTTGTTGTTAAAATTTTAATTTCATTTTAATTTGGGATTTTTTTTTCTCAGAAATGTCTTTCTGTAAGAAAATTGTCATTTCATTTGTGAAGCCTGGGATTTTTCCCATTCCATTTTTTTAACAAAGTATTGTATAGTTTTTATCATGCTTATTCTTCTGAATATCCTGACAATTCCACTCATGACTGTGAACAAATGCTTCATGTTCTGTTTTCAAAATAGACACTGTAATGAAGTAAACATTTTGTGAAAGTATTTTTGGGGTAATACTTTTTTTTCTGTAAATGGTATACAATATGAATAAAAATGACTGTAAATGTTGGAAGACAGAAAATAAAGAAATTATGTATAAAATGTATGTAGCTGTTGATCATTCATTACTGCCATACAACAAATCTCTTTAGGTTGTGTGATTTTGAGCGGGATTCTGATTTTATGGAAGACTGCGTTTCAGATTCACATCAGAAATGTAAGATTAAAAAACATGACTATTATTTCTAAAAAACACGCTATTGTAGCAGTTGAATTGCAGGTTGTTAAGAAATTATTATTAATCACGATTTTAAGAAAACACACTATCATTAAATAAATCACCAGTGTGTTGTGACTGTTATTTTTTTCTGTTTGAGATGATGAATGAAGTGGAACCTTTGTCTTTTATTCTTTTACTTGACTGCTGCTGCATTTTAAGATTCAAATAAGATGACACAAGTTTTATGGTTTCTTTAGTTCTTTGCTCTTTCTTTTTTGGGGTTTGGGGTTGGGTGAATAACATTAAAATTTACAAATCATAATCCATTCCTTCAGTCATCTTTTCATTTGTTTTTTTTTTTTTAATGAAAACACTATCATAACATTGGTATGGCGTAAACCACACAGCACCGTATAGAAGAAACTAATTTCTATCAACTATTTCCTAGCAGACAAAATATCGTATTAGTAGCGGGATTTCATTCTTTGGATGCATCTGCCGTTATCACCCACAAATTCAGGGATGTTTTGGGGGGTTGTTTGGTTACTCCACGGCTTTTTCAGTGAAAGCAGGAGACCGTCACCAGAATATCTTCGGACGTCGAGAGGAATTTCCGAGGTACTGTATTCAGGTGTGAAACAGGTGATGTATCCAGCTATCCAGTGGGTTCAGAGTGAAGTCGCTCTTGCTTCAGTGTGTGATCGTTTACTTAGCGGGTGAACAAAGTAACATTAGATCTGCCGAAAAGATCCCCAAGGCTGCGTGGTTTTGTTTTTTGCAGCCCCTTTCACAGGGTCCAAGCGGGCAAGTCCCGGCGTGCTGAGGACTCAAGCCATCGCTCCTATTATCATTGGGAGTGAAACCTGGCTTTGCCAACGGGTCGAAGTCGGGCCAGGGGAGCGTTAACGACAGCAGGCACAAGCCGTTTCTTCCCGCGGGCAAAACCTGAAGCCCTGCATCAGGGTAACCAGGTAACCAGGTGTGTTGGTGGCTCACCTTGTAAACGGCAGGCTTGCCAAGAGAGACGCCGTGGGATCGCTGCTTGAGCCGTGACGGTGAGTATGATGAGGACGGTGACGACGAAGGAACTTATGCTAAACGATATCTCATTTATGTACGGGTACTGAATGTACAGTAATTAAAAACACCACAGTTCACGTTAAAAATGAAGAGAGCCGTGGTTAATAAAGTGATAAGAGTACTGAATTGGTATTGCCTGCCTCGCTGTATAAAATCTAAGTATACAGTAAGAGGTGGTTTCTGCTACGATAGCCCGTGTACTGCGAGGGCCAGTTTATTTGTAAACTTATTTGTAAGGCACGGCTTTAAAGTAGAAACGCCCTGCACCTGAAACGCTCCACTGGTAATATTTCAGATTTCACTGTATGTCGTGGTCCTCCATAGTTTTTCTCTGTCGTGTATCGTGTGTCTCTTTACAGTATCGGCTATCTCGTATGTTAAGGGGGCAGTTTTAAAAATAATTATTTATCGTCCAGAAAGATTCACTTTTATGTTCCCAGTCGTGAGGCAGCAACACACTGAAAATCTCCCTAGTACTGGTGTGTTATTTTTCCAAATAAAGGTCTGCAAAGCTGGGATTCCTGTGTTTTGTTGATGCAGTTTACACTACGTTTTTTAAAGAGCCCAGCACTTGCAACTGAGATTTCTATCACTTTGTTGTTGCGTTATGCATAGTTAGAGGTAAGAAAATACGTTAACAACGAGGATCCATTGTAAAGTTTCTTGATTTTTTTTGGTTGCGGAAGATACTCTCTCTGTGTTGTTATTTATAACAGTATATATCGAGGGTAACGTTTCTGCATGAGCGTCCCTCAATACACTTCGTTTAGGGAACCTTAGTTGGGATTCGTATGTTGTAATCTCAATAGCTTTATAATAACAGAATAGTAACACAGAAGTAACTGCTCTCATTGTGTACCCCTTCATTGGGGTACCCCTTCTAAATTGGGCTTCAATTGAGATTTTTGTTTTTTTTTTGTTTGACAAACAGGCTCACGCCACTACTTAAAAACACGGTAAGATTAGAAAAAAAATACCTTGTTTTAAAATAGCAGGTGACAGAATACGAAGTTTGGTGTCAACCCTTGGTCTTTAAAACGGCAAAATGTCTGCGTTTTTCCACTCGTTTTTTATCCGTTCAGTTAACAGGACCCTGAGGTCACGATCCCGACGAGCAGCCCCGAACACCCATGTCCTCCCCGGCAGAAACAGATACTCGGAGAGCGGACACAGACGCAGGTGCAGCTCCCGCCGGGCTTTCTGAAGATCCAGGTGTGTTTAAGAAAGCTCCCGGAGGCCGCAGGCTAGACCACCGTTGGGCTCCGGACCGCCTTGGAGAGTCCCCTTCCAGAGGAAACCGGAGCCCCGGCCCGTTGCTCCCTGGACCGTCGAGCCAGGTGTTCCCAGACTGGGAGGACACGCGGGCCGGAGAGGTGCCGCCTCGGCGCTCAATGCAGCGCACCCACTCGCTGAGTGAGAGGCTGGAAAAGGCCGGGGTGGCCGGGAGCGTCCCGGAACGCTCTCGCAGCCTCGGCAACGTGGCGGGAGGAGGACGTCGAAATAAGGACAAGTACTGTGGAGACGTGGTGGAAGACCTGATTGGCGATGAGCTCCTCTTCAAACCGCTGGGGAACCCGTCACCCCGCCGAGAACTGGCCGGGTCCCCACCCGGTGCCTCAGGTGTCGAAGCTTGCACGCCCCTGGAAGAAAGAGGTGGCAGCCCTCTGGTGGGTGACTCCAGCCCCAGCAACAGCCTGAAGCAGCTGCTGAGCTCCCAGATTGAGAACGCGGCCTCGTTCCTCCCCCGGGCTCCAGCGGACCAAGGGGCGCTGGGATCCCAGCCCACAAACTGGGTCACCACAGTCTACACAGCTGGGTCCACACACAGCTGCTCCTCGGGCAGCGTGACAGAGTCCGAGACTCGCTTGCTGAGCCACAGCCAGGTACTGGGAATTGCCTTCGTCTCCAGCGCTCATTCAGTGTTTAAAGCCTGAACGCAGTTCAGGAACAGTATGGTGTAGTAAATTCAGTAAGTTCACCACTCCTAACGGATCACAGAAAACAGGGTATTTGATAGCAGAATGAACATATCAGTGCTGAACTGCATTCTGTCTGGGTTTGGGCAGGATTTATTAGGCACCCTCCCACAAAAATATATTTAATCACATGTGTAGTGGGGCACGGGCTGAATGATTGATACAATATGCAAGTGGTTCTGTCTCAGAATTTAAGTATTGAATCAAAAACCATGGTTTTGAGAGCAGTCACACATTTGAAGGATAATTTTTATATGCAGAGTTATGAAATGGATGAGGACAGGTTGAGTCGGAGTGTCTGGAGAACTCTAATACAATATTGTTCTCACTGGCAGCTGTTTGATCGACTCTCTGTGCTGTAAGGGGTTTTACTGGAGTCCTTATCATTTATAATTCACAGCAAACAAAGTTCATTCCTGTAGGAATTGTATCTGCTTGAAGCGCTCTGACCTCTCATCTTGTGAACTATTCGCTGGTAAAGGGGGCAGAGAGGAGAACATTTTTCAATGAGTTTATAGTCCTTTTTGGTGGTCTAGTACAGATGACATCACAGCTTTTTCTCAGGATGGGCTGAATGTGTCGAGCCTCTTTTTGGAGTCATTTGCCCGACTTTAATCAGAACCCTCTGTCCCGCAAGTTTGGATCGAAAAAGAGAAAGAGTGTTCTCTGTAATATAAAACGAGTCAAGGTTTTTTGCAGATGACTGTAAGGGGAATGAAGAGCCTTGGTCTAGGAAGATGCTTCCCATCACTGTATTGAGTTTAATGAAGTCACCACAAAGTTACAATATGGCATTAAAGTCATACATTCCGTATAATATTAAACATGGGAAATGTGGGCCAATCTTAGAACCTTAGCATTTTATTAAAAACATTAGAACATTTGTCCGCTTGGAAAACTCTAATCTGTCTTTGAATGAGCTTTGCATGTGTATAGATTAGAACACAAATTTGTTTTAAATATTACATGAATGACTTGATGCTTAAATGTGAAAGCAAAGTTCTGAAAAACAAATGTCAGGTTGTGTGCATGGTCAGCTCGGGATGAAATGTGGACAGGCAGTTAAAATGTTCTAAACCTGTCCCGCTTGGTGGTAGATTGTTACGGATTTTTTACACAAAGGAGCTGCAGGAAATCGTGTTAGAAGGAAACCAGATGAAATTGTTGCTGCCAGTCTCTCTTTTCTCCTGCGGCTTTTGTCATCGAAGAGGAATAACACTGGAGCCACCAGCTGGGGCTCAGACAGAGGAGCGCCGCAGGTCTTTGAGCTGTGGAGGCAGCGATAGGGAGAGTGAATTAGATGCATTGGTAAGGGCGATCACATGGCAGGCTGCTTTGAGTGCCTGAGAGGGGCGAGTGAATTGCGAGTCACAAAGCATGTGGCGTAATCAAAGGAGAGGGCTGCGGCTACATCCCATAGCTGATCAGGGATCAAGGCATCCCAATTCTGTGGCTGCCTCCGTGACGACAACAACAACGAGCCGCCATCACACACACAGGCACGGGCTGGACATCGGGCACGGAGGAGGTAAATGGATCCGGTCTTGTTGTTGCTGGATTGCCCTGTGATCTGTAGAGCTGTGCCTCGGGTGCGATGAGCTTTGTGTGAACGGTCTAGTAAAGTGCAGGTGACATGTTTGTTTTGTAGCTGTGGGTTTTTACAAGCACACGGGATTTAAACAAAGGGGTGCTTTGATTATCCACTTCATCTGACAAAGACTAAGATGCTCCTTACTAAGAACCTCCTTATAGGAAGGGTAGGGGAGGAAAAAAAGTATTTTTATAAAGGATTCTGTCAGAAGATCACTGATATTTGCTATTGCTATTGTGTGCTATATAGCTAATTAAAATTTGATCATGTTTGCACTTCAGTGATTTGTAAAGAGTTTTGACATGACGGCTTTCATGAAGTGTTTTGTGCCTAGTTTTTATCATCAGGTTGTTCCGTCTGTGAAAAGCCTCTGTGATCAATTATATTTCACAGAAACCTAAAGGCTTTCCAAGGTAAAGATTTATGTTTTTGCTCTATTGTAAACAAAATTTATGAGGGTAATGTAGTTAAATGG